CTGTGGACTGTGCTGTGAATCGACTGATGTAGTTAAGCCGTCCTAGGAAGCTCATCACATCCTTTTTGCTCTTAGGTGGTGGTGATCCTGAATAGCTTTGACTTTAGACGGATCCAGCTCGATCCCTCAACGACTGACGATGAATCCCAATAACATTTCTGCGGAACCCCGAATGCACACTTTGCGGGGTTCAGTTTTAAGTTGTACCTCCTTAGTTTGTCAAAGAACTTCCTCAAGTCTGCTATGTGATCTGCAGCCCTCTTGGATTTGATAATGACGTCGTCCACATATACCTCTATCTCTTTGTGTATCATATCATGGAATATGGTTGTCATGACTCTCATGTAAGTGTCCCCAACATTCTTCAAATCGAATGGCATCATCTTGTAACAGTATACACCACATGGTGTAATAAAAGCTGTCTTCTCTGCATCTTCTTCATCCCTCCAGATCGGTGATAACCCGCGAAGCAATCCACAAAGGATTGGAGTTCATGCTTGGCGCAGTTGTCGATCAAAATGTGTATATTCGGTAGTGGGAAGTCATTCTTGGGACTTGCTCTATTTAAATCCTGGTAGTCAACACATACTCTGACCTTCCCATCCTTCTTCGGAACTGGCACAATGTTAGCTAACCAAGTTGGGTACTCAACCACCCTAAGAACCTTGGCTTTGATCTGCTTGGTAACTTCCTCCTTGATTTTCAAACTCATGTCTGGTTTGAACTTTTTGAGTTTCTGCTTGACTGGTGGACACATGGGATTAGTAGGCAGCTTGTGAGCCACTATGGAAGTGCTCAAACCGGTCATGTCATCATATGACCATGCGAAAATGTCCTCATACTCATTTAGGAAATGAATGTACTCTTCCTTCTCTATTGGTGATAAGTGAATGCTGATGCGGGTCTCCTTGATGGTCTTGGCGTCTCCCAAATTTACTGCTTTTGTTTCGTCCAGGTTGGACTTAGGCTTATTCTCAAAATTTTCAACCTCCCTGACAATTTCCTCGGGTATCTCGTCTTCTTCCTCTGAATCACTATCCTCATGTTGCGTTGCCTCATTACATCTCACAGTCACTGGTTCATCAGGAAAAAGTAATAATAATACTGTAGAAGGGAAAATCATAAAAAAATAGTAATGAATAATGATAAAGGACAAATGCATTTGATTAAAACTGAGAAAATTGTTCAAACAAAGCTTGGCTCGATGGATCGAGCATTTATTTTGAAACAAGCAAGACTTAAAACAAAATTACTGGAAATCTTAAATGCCTAGAACGGCTATAGAAGTAAAATCTGCCAGGCTATCCAGGGACTCGGCGGGCTCGGGACGGTGTAGCGGTCCAGTTCCTGAGAACAACTCCCTTTTCTCCACAGTCTGAATGGTGAGGCCTTCTTCCTCCTCCTCCTCAATTATGGCACTGCATTGTATCATTTATTCTGACTTTTCCTTTGCTTTTAGGATCACTTGGAAGAAGAGGATGTGGAAGACCTTTAGGTATGCTGATGATGTCAGTATGAGCGAACCAACCTCAGGGGATGAGAATAATCAAAATAATGGAAAAAACAAAAGGTAAACAAGTCAGTAAGGATTTTGAAATGTTTGCAGTATTTAAACACATATTGCGAGAATGTAAATTTGTGTCCTAATTTGGGAGCTTCGTCGCGCCCAAGGTAGGCCTAACGACAAATAGATTTGGAGAACTTAGATGCCAACAAATGCTTTATTTCATTAATATAAAAATAGACGAATCCCAAAATGACACTAAGATAATAAAGGTAAGTCACTATTGGCACTTGGCCTTATTACATTTAGGAAAGCAAATAAATCTAGTCTACTTGGTCCCAGAAGGACCCTTCCTAGATTCGATCTTCTTGACTCCATCATATAGGTTCCCCAGCTCTCGCAGACCCAGCAGTAGGTAAGCTCTGGCCAAATGTCCTCCTTCACTTCCTTCAGCATTCTGGCAATTGCCCAAGCGGTTTCTTACGTGTTTCTTGTCACTTGAGGAAAGGTCCTCCCACCAATCGAGTAGCAATGGTGGAATGTTGCTGACCATACCGAATCTGGGGACCTCGTGCCTCATTTTCTGCGAAACAAAAAGGTTAGACCTTACCCCTACCGGACTCAACTATTTATACATTTATGATCAACATATCGGCATTTAGTTCTCCAAATTAATGCACAGAACGTGATTGTGTCCATTGGGATTACGAAAAACCCCGATGGACTTTGGATAAGGCTTATCTTAAAGGATCATTATGTGGACAACATAACTGATCCGTTTAACTAGAGTAAGGTTTCTATGGGGTTTTAGACTGGTAACCTCAAGCGGACAACTCGAGGGGGAAGGCACGGAACCGTCGACTACACCGCTGATCGACTGGTTTTACCGCAAATAAGCCTTTCCGAATTTAAGGGTAGTAAATAGGAAGAGCGCAACCACTCATTAAAGCGTTGCTATAGGATTTGATACGCAGGAGTGGAATGTGATGCGGAGCATGATTTATGCAGCAGTTAATAATATGTAGTCAAGTATTTTCACGTAGGAAAAATAAATACAACATTTAAATAATTGAAAGAGAGTTACAGAAAAAAGAAAACAAAGAGACAAGTCAGTTTCAGGGATAAAGAACCATAAATGCTTAAAACATGGACAGTTAAATTCAAATAAGGAGAAGGGTACGGGATAAAGCATGCTTGGACTAATTTGTAAAAAGATAAGTTCGTTATGGTAAGAGCCTAAAGGTATCCCTAGCAGAGTCGCCATGCTGTTGTGCACCCCTTTTTTCCCTCCGGGGAGAGAGATTCGGGTTTCGACATTCATGGGGTGTGATAACTCATTTCCTTTTGGGAATTGGGTATTTGAAGAGTCGCCACCTAACAGATTATGGTGCGTTAGGGCACCCAGAGCGATTAACTCTTGGATTGGTTTGCATCACCAGAGATTTAGGGTAAGGGCTCGAAATAACCTTGAGGGGAAGGTGTTAGGCACCCCTCTTGGTCCACAACTGTGGGTCCCGGCCGAACTTATATTTACGAATTAGTCCAAATAAATACTTGAAACAAATAATTATGAATAAGGCATGTTTGTATAACTCAAATAATAAGACATAGGTTTTGGACAAGTTGTATTATAAAACAAAAAGGAATTTTGAAAAGGAGGAATCCTAGGTTGATTAGCCTATAGGATCACCCCAAACAATGTCCGGTAAACACTTCTCAATGAGGAATCCTACACGTGACATTAGCACGTAGTCATCATATCCCATATCTACCCTTCCCATCCCCTTAGTGGTCATTCAAAGCGAGTGTTGGTCAACGATTTCCAGTGCGTGCTGTTACCCGTCCCTTCTTAATGGTCCTGGAGGGATTTAGGACCTTTACCTATAGGTGGTTCTAGACAGACCCCTAAGGTTTTAAAGGTGAAAATACTAAGGCGACAAGCAGGAACAATTAGGACTTTAGCACATAAGATAAAAGGGAACAATTAGAGGCTCGGGTTTACCTTCTCAAACAATACACATAGGCAGCACGACTCAAGCACAAATAAGGGCCTTTTGTTAAGCAGTATCATAAGGCATGATGTCTAAGTGAAATATACAGAAGACAGGCATTTTATTTTGTAAACTCAGAAGTAATGACCCTAGCATGTTGCCTACTGAATTTTAAAAAAAAACCTGTTAAACCAGAACAACATTAAGTCACAACAACAGTTTCAGAGTTGCAAGATTTGAAAACGTCCTATAGGCTTGCCTATATGCGGAATACTGATGACTACATTTTATATAGTGAAACAAGGCAGGTCTTTAAAACAGACTCTTTTGATCCCTATAGGCATGCTGTCTAATGATAGATTGAGGCAGTTTTTGAAAGAACTTATTTTAGGGAAAATAGCCATTAATTAACTAGTTTCGAAGTGAGCTAATCGTTAATCGAATTGATTTATTTAAACTAAACTAGTTGATATCTGTAGGCAGAATTTCTGGTGGTGTTCCTTATAGACATGGTATCTATCACACCTCCTTTTTCACTACACCCCCCGGAAGAGGATCTAGTAAAGGGAGTTTTTTCCAACTTAAAGTGACAATCGAAACGGGATTTATTTATTTAATGATTCAGAGTCGCCACTTGGGAGATTTATGGTGTCCCAAGTCACCGGTTCAAATCCCGAGTCGAGAAAAAGATTGACTCTGTATTATAGTCCGCGATCCAAAAATTTGGGTAAGGAATTCTGTTAACCCGGGAGAAGGTGTTAAGCACTCCCGAGTTCCGTGATTCTGGCACGGTCGCTTAGATTATACTTGGCTTATTAAAATTGTCTAATTACTGATTTTAGAACCTATGTGCTTTTGCCTCTTTCACTGTTTTTAATTTAAAAATTATCTTGAAACGGGATACACGTATGTATACCCATTTGTTTGGCGCGTCAAAAATCATGTCACGCGAACGTGTCCACAATTAATAACGCTTTGTTTATTATTAATATAATTTGGCCGAAGTTGCGCGAACGCATACTCCGGTTTTGTTTTTAAAATCGTGATCATGTCACGCGAACGTGTACACAATCACAGTTATAGATTAAATCGCACCTAAAGCCAGAGAATCATAGAGTAGAATAAGCTGCATTATAATTAGTGACACATGGATTACTACGCTCCATATCAAGTAACAATTCTCACTATTGGATAAATTCATATTCAGGATAATTACAACTTGATTCCAAATTGAGCATACTGTGAGAATGTATAAGAATGCCAAATCAAAGCACACGTAAATTTCCATATATGACTTCCTCTTTTCCCCTATTAAGAGCTTGTCTTTTGTTTACCTTTTGGGGTATCTTAGGGTATGGACAAAGATGAGATTAGAAAAAAAAAATTCGGATAGGCCTCAGTTCTTTCTTGGCCAGCATATAAAATTCATTTCACCAAACATGAGTTCAAAATCCTTCTCGCAACAAGACAAATTAACGGAAATAACCTTTCATTTTCAAAGAGGATCACAAACAGAGAAGATTAATGAAACGATCGCGAAACCAAACAAACTTCAGTTATACACGTAAGCTGCCTAGTAATTCAGAGCTGCTGCAGACCAAATCAATGCAAAACTTACGCTCAAAGTTGTGCAAATATGCTGCCCCAACGGTACAAAACAAGGCAGATTTTCAGCATGTCTAACAGTCCAAACAAATGTCCAAAAAACTGCACGTTCTCAGCATAATTTATTGCTCAAATTGACCTTTTAACAGCTTGAAAGAGCAGAATTCCTATAGCAGTAACAATGCAGACAAACTTCGAACAAGAGAAGGAAAATAGAGCCAATCTGAACATGTACAATCAGTGAAACAATTGAGTTTCAACACCACTTTAGACCAAGATCTAACAAGAATGAACATAACATATGCTTTTGAAAATCAACTCGATCATTAACCAACCTATTTCAAGTACAACCTCAGGAGACAGACAAAATATTCCAAGGAGCTGCTCATGAATGCAGCAGATGCCTGACTCTTACAACGTGAAGATTAAAGTGCCTTTTATCATGAAACAAGGAAGCCAATTGGTGCGAACGTCAATCAGGTGCTAACAAAGACGAACAAATCAATATATTAATAAGCCAAAGACGAGTCGATCCAACCCGAAAACTAAAGTATAATCTGAACGCTTCATTTTCCCAACTATTCACACTTTAACATTTCGAACAACAAACAGATTATTAAATGACCGGAACAGAACTATCAGTCTAGAGATAAATTTCCCATGGCCTCATCATACTTTAACCACAACAAATACAATGAGTAAGAATCAAGAAATGAACCTGAGAATGCGAAATTCTTCGATTAAACTTGTTTGGACTTGAATACAAATAAACCTGACTACGAACACTTGAAACAACAGCAGCAGACAAGCAGGAATCAAAACAGAATGGCAACCTTGATTTTGGCTCAATCAATCTTCATTTTTGAAGGAAGTCAGAGAAAGAGGATGAAATCTTTTTAGATTTTTTAGATTTTTGAAACGAAACTAAGATCAAAGCAAAAAGAAACTGAAATATTTTTTAAAAAAACCTTCTTCTCCGGAATCGAACTGAAAAATGCGGAAGAACTCAAAAGGGAAAAACTAAGGGATTTTTTTTAACTGTTTCTCTCCAAATCTCAGACTCACACTTAAACTTCAATCAAACTCCATTCTTGAGAACCAAAAATCAAAACAAATGTTGAAATCTTTTGATGATTTTCTGATTTTTCTGAAACAAAGCTCGAATAAAAATCAAACTCGATTTTTTTTTTTTTGTATTTTATTTTTCTGAAATGCAATCCAAACGTGAGTAATCTGGAAAAAAACAAAGAGCTCTAGAAATTTCTTTTTTTTTTTACCTCTCCAAACTTCCGAAAAAAAGAAAAGAAAACCTCTCTGAAAATCCTCTCTAAAAAAAGAATCCCCCCTTTTTTACCCGAAAATGCTCCCTTATATATCCAACCTCCGGGTTCTTTCTTCCTCTTCAAGAAATCGGATAAGGCCCTTTTGAAAACGAGCACATGATGAATGTGAGGCTCGGATTGAATGAGATCGATCCGACGCCTCTCACTCATCCAACACCCATCTTCTAGATCCTTCCAACCGCGTGAAATAGCTTGAAAACGGGCGAGTGAAGGAGGGAATCTTGTTGTTGTCAGAGGCCGTTACACCCATATTGCAAGAGGAGAGAAGGGGGGAGCGCGTGAGGTGAGCTTTTGGGGTGAACTCGGGCGAGTTTGGGCGAGGCAGAGGGTGATTTGGGTTGTTTGGAGAAGAGGAACAGTGAGGCGTCGTTTGCTCTTGAGAGATTAGGGCTTTTGTGTGTTGTGGGTATATTTCAGAACGGGTCGGGTTTGGGGCTAGACCTGGGCGGGTTTAGTGAGAAGAAGGGGGGTTGGGCTTGGGGTTATTAAGGAAGAAGAAAGGTTTGGGCTCAGCAAATCTGAGGCCCAAATCAGCTCTAAGTCCAAATTTATCCTTTTCTTTGCTCTTCTAATTATTTCAAAATCCTTTTTTCTTCTTAAACTTAAAATAAAATCTAAACTAAATCCTAACCCCAAATTATACTAAATTAAGTTAATTACTCTAAATAAGAATTACCAAAATTAATTAAAAATCAAATTAAAAGAAAACTACGAAATTTAAAACTCAAAAACTAAAAAACATGCAAAAATGAGTTGTTGTTTTTTTCCCGTGATTTTTCCATTTTTTATGAAATAAACTATTTACCAATTAATCTAAAAATAAAAATTAAATCCTAAATGCAAATGCAATATATTTTTTATCTTTTCATGAATTAAGTAGAATAAACGTGCACAAACAAATGCAAACAATTGACAGAAAATGCCACAAAAATCCACGAAATTGCAAACCGATGAAAAAGAATTATTTTGCTTTGAATTTATGGGAGTAATTCATATAGGGCAAAAATCACGTGCTCACTGTATCTAGTTTTAATACTGATTTTAGAAACTTTGAAGGCATTATGACAAATAAAAAACATGTAAACACTTGTTATAACGGAAGCTGGATTGGGATTATATCCTATAGACATGGCATCTACTTGTTAAATTGATTTTAAGACCTACAAACATGATTTCTATTATGGAATCACTTGAGACCTATAGGCATGATTTTTAACATGGTAAAGCAAGCATAGCAAAAAAATGTAAACTCCTATAGGTATGGTTTCTGAATGGTAAAGCAATCATATCGAAATGTAAAGTCCTATAGGCATGATCTCTACCCATAATACCCCACAGACATGTAACTATCCCCCCCCCCCTTTTCACTAGTTGCCCCAATATTTGTTTACAAATTATTACAGACCATATGAATGAATTACATAAGTAGATAAGAAAATAAGAAGTTATTCTATAGGGAGCCTACATATAGGCCCGGATTTCCAAAGCCTCCAATAGCCTCGAATGCCCAAATTCCATAGACAATGTCATAGTCTAGGTGCATCAAAGTTCCCTAAGGATCTCAAGGATCCCGGGCAGTGCTTACACCTAGACTTGGTAACCAAATTGAATAAGTGCAGTGTGGAAGGGCCAGCCTCAGTATGCCAGAGTTCAGAGGGTTCTCAAGAGGATCGCAAGGTAGTACACATACTGGAGGGGGCGGAACCTATTGACTTAGGAGTAGAGTGAGAGTGCTTGACACAATTTGAAAGGTCTTAGTAGGAAAACAGTATTAAAAGGAGGTTTGTTTGAAATAATTTGTGGAGTAAAAGAGGGAGTCATGCAGTAAAACAACTTTGAAAAGAGAGAGTTACATGATTAGACAACAGCAAACCAAACATGGAGCCCAAAAATACATCAGCAATACTTGTTGAAAAGGATGTCATTTCTATCTGACCATAAGTGCCAGAGGATGAAGAGAAGGGTTTCACTCCAGCTAATAAGGTCATTAAACATGCTTTTAGAATTGATCAATTTTTTTAGCCAAGTGGGGATATTAAAATCATTTGTATGTAGGTGCTGAAAGTTATGATTATATTTTATCCCTTCCCAGATGTGCTTGGAGTATGTACATCTGAAGAAGATATGCTCGATATCCTCTCTCTCTTTGCAGCAAATGCTACACATATCCGTGTCGCTAATGTGCCTTTTAAAAAGCATGAGCGTGGTGGGGAGCCTATTATGAACTACTAGCCAAAGGAATGACTTTATCTTATTGATCGTGGGGATTTTCCAAATCCATCTAAAGTCTATGTTGTTGTCCTGATTCTCGTGAGGGGAGGAGATGAGCTCCTAAGCTGCTTTGGTAGAGAAATAATTATGGTTTAAGGTGCTCCATTTTGATTTATCTCTAGATGGAGGCCCTTGCTTAATATAGGTGTTGTGGATTTTATGCTTTATGCTAGTAGGTAGGTCAAAAGATAGGGTGTTCAGATTAATAGTACCATTAGCCATGATGGGGGAAAGTGGTAAATTCAGCTCATTCCTCATTAACGGCCCCTGTATGAGGCTTCTCAAAGGTTCAACATGATTTATCCATTTGTCATCCCAGATGTTGATGGATTTCCCATCTCCTATTGTCCAGTGAAGACCTTTTTTGCAAATTTTTATCCTTTCTAAAATATATTTCCAGATGTGTGACCCCCTATCTTTATTTGGGGTTCTGTTAACCGTGTTATTCCTATTTCGTACTTGTTATGTAGGACTTGAGCCTAGAGAGAGTTCTTTTCTTTCGAATATCTCCATGCCAAAGCCGTTTTGAAGGAAGCATTTTTCCAGTGAGATTTGTATAACCCTAGTTCCCCTTCCCTTAGCTTTTTGATTTGGTAACTATATCCCAATTGATAAGGTGACATTTTTTCTTTTCATCAGTACTTCCCCACAAGAAATTTCTTTGAATAGCATCTATCTTATTGGTGGTGGCTTTTGGAAGGCCGTAGATTTGCATCACATGATTGGGGATAGCTGCTAGGGTAGCTTTTATTAAAGTAGTCATTCCTGCCATGTTTAGAAAGTTTGTCTTCTACCTTTGCAGTCTAGTGTTGAGCCTATCTATAATAAATTGGAAGTCCTTTTTGGTTATTCTGTGGTTTATTATTTGAAATCCAAGATATTTTCCAAAGTGGGTCGCTTGTTTCATGGACAGACTCTAGCTAATGTGATTTTTTATGTCTTGAGGAGTGTTATTTGAAAAGAGGATTCTAGACTTGTTGAAATTGATAGTCTGTCCTGATAGATTACAAAATTTGTTCAGTGTATCAATGAGGGAATTGCAGTTTTTTTGGTTGGCTTCCATCATTAAGACTAGGTCGTCAGCAAAGAAGAGGTGGGATATGGGAGGGCCCTTGTTAGGAATTTTGATAGGGTCCCACCTGTAGCAGTCTATTTCGTGGTTAATGAGTCTCGAGAGCATTTCCATACAGATAATGAAAAGGTATGGGGATAAGGGATCCCCTTGCCTTATGCCTCTAGAGGGTAGAAAAAAATCAGTGCACGAGCCGTTGATTAGGATAAAAGTTGAAGTGGTGGAGATACAAGACATTATGACGTCTATTAGGTTATCGGGGAAATTTAGATATTTAAGCGAGAACCTCACGAAGGACCACGACATCTTATCAAAGGCTTTCTCTAGGTCAATTTTAATCATCATTTTTGCTTTTTTGCCTTTTGTGTTTTTGAAGTGATTTAAGACTTCCTGAACAATGATAGCATTGTCAGAAGCTCTTCTCCCTTTGATAAAACTCGTTTGAGTGGGGTGAATGATATTGGGCAGGAAGGGCTTAATCCTGTTTACTATAATTTTGGTGACTACCTTGCAAAGGATAATGGGTCTGTATTGCTTAATCGTCTCAGCATTTTGGCATTTGGGAATGAGACAGATGTAAGTTTTGTTCATATTATCTATCATTTGCTTATTCTTAAAGGTACTGATGACGAAGTTGATGAGTTGGTCCTTCGTCTCATTCCAATAATTTTGGTAGAAAAAAGAATGCAAACCATCCGGTCCCAGAGCTTTAAGGGGCTTGAAGGCGTTGAGTGCAAGTTTAATATCCTTCTCTGTAGGAGTCAGGCATAGGTCATATTTCTGTGACTCTTGAATTGTAGCATAGTAGGACATATAGGTAAGATTTTTGTAGGACATCTCTTGCTTGGTTGAGTAAAGGTTAAGAAAGTTTTTATTAATTATTTCACTGATATCTTTGGGCTTATAATGCCATCCCCCCCCCCCTCGTCTTTGAGACTTAGAATCCTATTTTTTCTTCTTCTATGCATGGTAGTCGTGTGGAAGAATTTTGTATTTGCGTCTCCATCCTGAAGCCACTGAACTCTGGATTTAAGCTTCCAGAAGTCTTCTCTAGTTTAAGAGTATTCTTATATTCCTCCATTAGGTTAATTTCTAAATCTATAAGAAACTGGCTATTTGGGTAATTGCGCGATCTTTGAATACCTTCTAGTCTAGCCATGACTTTTCTCTTTTTTTAAAGATATTTCCGAAGGTGTTCTTATTCCAATCATTAACTTTTTTAGTGAAATTTTGGATAGCGTTGGTAATTATCATCTGGTTAGCCCATGTTTCCCTTATAAGGGGTTTGAACGTAGGGTGAGACGTCCACATGGACTCAATTCTGAAGATATTCCCACTTCTACCAAAAAAAAATTGTAAGATCTAATTTTATGGGACAATGGTCTGAGTGGGTACGCGTCAGGTGCATAACGTGAGCTTCTTGAAATATATTAATCCATTCCGGGTTAGCTACGCACCTATCTAATCTTTCCATACTTAGGGTATTTTTTTCTTTTTTCTTTTGTTAGTCCACGTGAATTTACACGCTTTAAACCCTAGATCCATTAACCTACAGTAGCGAAGACAGTTAAGGAATGCCGTGATTCTGTTATTATTAACCGGCAAACCTCCGAATCTTTTTGAAGCCCTAGTGACTTCGTTAAAGTCACCTGCAACAAGCCAAGGCCCTTTAAAATTATCTACTACTGTTTTTAGGTTTTTTTTCATAGTATTAACCTTTCTTCTAGAAGAGTGCTAGCATAGATAGTAGAAAGAAGCCATGAATTAGGGTTGTTTGGTACCTTTATCATGGTATGAACCTCCTGATCCGTGGATCTAATTTGATCCACAGTGATGTCTCCATTTTTCCACATGATTGTGATACCTCCTGAGTTACCTTGTGCAGCAACTTGAATTAAGTTGTCAAAGCCAAAGTCGTTCCTGAGTGTGTGATGCTTCTCCACTCTTGTTTCCAGCAGGGCCACCAACACTGCCCTGTTGTAATCCAGCATGGACCTAAAGGCTCTTCGAAAGTCAGCGGTTCCCACCACCTACAGTTCCAAATGATGATAGTCATTGAGTTATTC